TAATAACCTTTATACAGAAGAAGAATTTTGTGATAATATGTTTTTTAAATTTATCTTCTTCAACAATAACTTGTATTTGAATTCAGCTCAAAACAGCTATTAGTCGTGCAACTTCCCGAAATGATATGTTGACAATCAGGGATGCCCTTGAAGTATCCGCTGACATGTATAAGAAGGATGCACATAATGTTTCAGACTACATTGAGCGTCATCTTATATCTTTGTCCATCTGGGAGGAATTACGGTATGTGGTTACAAGTCATTTGCCCCTCAATTTCGAGCATAAATTATTCTGATGTTCATTTTTCCCTTGCAATAAGTTGTTATTGGTTCTTCTCATTGGTCTATCACACTTATATGCTTTCCCATATTCTGTGAAATTTTTAACTGAGTTTATGTTCAGTAATGGAAGTAACCGTAAATCTAGACCACCGCAAAGTGTTATAAAGCCTTACGTTTCCGGTCTTCCTTGAAGCTCAGAGCTGTAAAACTGTAATTTAAACTTACATCATGACAATGTGGATATTCAAGAGTAATAAATAAACCAGATGACAAGAACGCCATTAGTGATAGTAACTTACTTGCAGTACTTGACAAGCTTTGCTTACTCTTATTTATAGGCTGCCTTAAGTAACTCTATAAGATTTTTGAGATTTGTATTGTAGTTCATATTCTTTTCCGCTACATAGTGGCTTTCTTATCTTGTTTAGGTTCTTTATAGCACTCAAGTTTCTATTTCTTTATGTTAAAACTGACTTATTTCTACATCTGTCCTACCTAGTAGTTTTACAAGTGAATTGTTGATTCACTGTGTAATTTTTTTATTTTGCAGCTTTTGGGAAGGATACTTTGACTATCTAATGGAACGGTCTTCAAACAAGTAAGAATTTCAGGCATTTATCTTCTTTTTTACTTGGTGGATAAATCAACTTAATCCCGAATTTTGAATTTACTGTCTGATGAATTTATATATACAAGCCTTGTACCTCGGACTTAAATGGTAAGCTTAGACAGAAGCTAGTAAACAAACTTCAAAGTAGCATATAGTTTTTGATCTTCTACTTAGTACACTAGAAATAATAAACTTATATTGCACCATGTCAAATGTAATCTTTTGCAAAGTAATGTTTGTTTTTTGTTGTTACATCAGGTCGGCTAACTATGCCTCTTTGGTGGCTGCGCACTTAATTTATGTGGAATCGCACATGGTGCTGTTTCTTCTTTATCTTATAAATTTTCTGGCACTTGTCAACCTTTTAATTTCTTTTCATTAGTTTGTTTACGAGTTCGTTTTATGTCAACATGAAGGCTGGGTTGGGAATTCCTGATACTGATGCTTGGTACATGATTGAAACGATAGCAGAGAAGAACAATATTGGATACACACAATTTGTAAGTAATTTTTTTCTCTATTTCAGCTTATGCAGTTCTAATTAATATTGCAGTGGTATCCTTGTCTATTTTTCTGTATGAGATTATAATTTCCTTTAGATTAGGTGCTCACTGTTGGCTAGATGATATTAGGTTATCTGTGTTGGTTCTGTCTTCAGTGACGCAGGCTATTGGTTTCGCTCTCAAATTCTGAAAACTGATAACCTATGCTCACAAAATTGTTTCAAAAAGAACTTGAAACATACCTTATTACTTTTTTGGGGTGGCTAGGAATGCCCTTGATCTTGTAGTGCTGTTTTGGGTTCGAACTTGTTTCATCTACTTTTACGCATTATTCTAGTGACTAATGGCCATTCAGATGCACTGTTGAGATCCATGAGGAGCCGCGGTCAAATTTATTGGCACCCTCCCTTTTTCCACTTGGATGCATGCAACTGAAGTTTTCTTTGGTTTTTCGATCCATTGGTGATGGTGTTCCTTGGTTATGTATTTTTCAGATAAAGCTGAGAGGGTTCTTGTCGCATATCGAGCACCTACTCATTGGTTATTGGGGTATCACTAATTTCAAGGGTCAATCCATGTTGTCTCATGGATTAGCATCTCCACGTTCAAAAGATGCTACAGTTGAGAATCAGCAGCCTGCTGAAGCTTCTGGTGTTGGAAGGAGCTGGGTTCAGAGCATGTTCAGCAGGGATACTGCATCCAGAACCACCTCTTTAAGTCGTGTTCGTAAATGGACTTCTGATGGTGGCTCTTCAGGTATGTCTGTTGCTAAGATTATGTGCTTGCATGTGATGTTTGATTATCTGCATGTACTCACCGTAGTTTCTTGTCATTAAGCTGCAAATGAAAATGGGACTCCTCGTAAGCAAGATTTGTCAGCCACTGGCCAGAAGAAAACTCAAACCAATGTTCGCTTACTTAGAGGTCATAGTGGTTCCGTCACTGCTTTACATTGTGTAACGAAGAGAGAGGTTTGGGATCTTGTGGGTGACCGGGAAGATGCCGGTTTCTTTATCAGTGGAAGCACAGACTCCACTGTAAGCCTTACATATCTACCATACAATTCATTGCACAGAACGTATCCTGTAAAGGGGTAATAATAATTCTTTTCAGCAATCTTTCAGGTTAAGATCTGGGATCCTAGTTTTCGTGGTAATGAACTTCGAGCAACCTTGAAAGGACATACAAGGTTTTGTTTGTATTCTACTGTTTTTTTGTTCTTGCTATCATCATTATGTTCTTTTTTGGTTGCATTTACTAGTTTACTATTCTATTATTGAACTTTTAAAATAAACTTTAGTGTTACTAAATTTTTTTAAAATTTGGTTGGCTTTTCTTGCATGCTCACACATGATGCAACTTAGCATGACCAATTCAACTTAGCTTAGTGTCCTTCCTCTCATGTCTTTCTGGGCCTTGTTACAGAGCTGTCCGTGCAATAAGTTCTGATCGAGGAAAAGTAGTATCAGGTTCGGATGATCAAACTGTTTTAGTATGGGATAAGCAAACTACTCAGCTTCTAGAAGAGTTGAAAGGCCATGATGCACCAGTGAGCTTACTCACTTTGTATATTGACTACTTTCCGGAGCATGAAAAATCAACTCAGTTGTTACATTTGATGCGATGGTCATGAAAAGTGACCAATATTTCGAAATTAATATCTCGTCCTTAATGTACACTGTGTATTGAACTCTATTCCACTGTCCATCCTTGTAGGTTAGCTGTGCACGCATGCTGTCTGGTGAACGTGTACTTACTGCTGCTCATGATGGAACTGTAAAGATGTGGGATGTCAGAACTGACACTTGCGTGGCAACCGTTGGTCGCTGCTCTAGTGCTGTTCTATGTATGGAATATGATGATTCCACAGGAATTTTAGCAGCTGGTGGTGAGATGTGTAAGTATAATGAAACTGATGATTAAGCATGCTCATAAAATTATGAATTAAAATGTTTTTCAACAAATTCCTAGAAATTAATTCTCTGAGTACCTGCATTATCAGCGTCGCAAACATCTGGGACATTCGTGCTGGCAAGCCAATGCACAAGCTTGTAGGGCATACCAAATGGATTCGGTAAGCTAAAGGAGCATAGCTTTTCCAGATTTTATGTTTTTCTTGATGATTCTTAAGTAGACACATAATTTATATGTCAATCTTGCAGGTCGATTAGAATGGTGGGGGACACAGTTGTTACTGGTAGTGATGACTGGACTGCAAGGATGTGGTCTGTTTCCCGAGGAACTTGTGATGCTGTTCTAGCATGCCATGCTGGCCCCATATTAAGCGTTGAGTATTCCACACTTGACAAAGGAATAATTACAGGTTGGCACTATATATCCTATTCTGTTTGCATTGTTATTTCCTTAGATTGCTTCAAAGATTTTTGGTTGCAAATCTTTTACACGTGCCATTAGGAACTCATGGAATTATACCATGTGATTTCTGTTTCAGGTTCAACTGATGGGCTACTCCGCTTTTGGGAAAATGTCGAGGGTAAGAGCACAATTTTCTTCCTTCTTTCATTGTCGACTATATTATTGCTGTGTTTTCTTTTTCTTTTTCTTTTGGGTAAGAAATGGAGACGCTATTGACGCTATTGAAAAGTCAAGGGAATACAAAATGGTGTGGGTTGGTTTCTACAAGATCGTGTAATTATCACATAATTATGTCAGAGTTCATGGAAGTGATTGAGTTTCCCTTTGAATTACTGTCAGATAGAGATGCATATTCCAATGAAGTAAAGCCTTTTTCAATGTTACTGTTGTTGCATGCAGGAGGTATAAGATGCGTAAAAAATGTTACTGTCCACACCGCTGCTGTATTGTCCATCAATGCTGCAGAACACTGGTTAGGAATTGGAGCAGCTGATAATTCCATGTCTCTCTTTCATCGGCCTCAAGAGAGACTCGGTAGCTCCTCTAGCGCGGGATCAAAAATGGCCGGGTGGCAACTATATAGAACACCACAAAGAACAGTTGCTGTGGTATGAAGTCCTGACTTTTCCTGCACCGGTCATTTTATTCCTACAAGCGAACATTCTGTTGTTCTAATGTTTTACCATTATCTATGCACCATATGGTCATAAATGTTTACGCAGAGATCTCGATGATTTATTGTTAATGGCTACTTGATTCCCCAGTTTTACTCCCCTTGTGCTATCCAGGTAAGATGTATTGCAACGGACCTCGAGAGGAAAAGGATATGCAGTGGCGGTCGTAATGGACTTCTTAGGCTTTGGGAAGCCACCATAAACATCTAAGTTCTTTGTGCATTTGTGTATTTCCGCTGAATATTGAATGGCATAGGTTTTGTTTTCTCTTGCAGTTACTATACGTTGTACCTACCTACGTATATTCTGAGATGTAACGTGTTCAAGCTATAAATACAAACGAAGAGAAGTTGGGGGTGTTTTGTTGTTGCCCCGTTTTTGTATTATTATACGAAATAGTATTTCTTGCTCGATGGTGTGCGTTTTCAAGTTTGCTTAGTTTGGTATTTTTACGTCGCATTTTCGGCACCAAATTACGATGTCTTGCTGATTTTACCGGAGATTGGATTGTGGTATTGTATGTGTGAAATTTATCCCTTAATGTGTCTCTTTTCTACGATAAGCACAAAATTTTCATTCACATCGAACGTATATACACGGATGATCCATCCCTCCACCACGAACGGAAAACCGAAGCATCTTCATCGGTGGATCGAAAATCACGGCGAGCATGTCATGACTGAAGTTGCTACACTTCGTGTTTTGTTCAATAACCCGTCATTCTTTGGGTAGCTGGTGGATTCACAGCAGCTTGCCGCTTTTGCTGCATCCTCTGAATTTGCTCCATGTTTCCTACCCATCCTACAACATACAAAGTTGAAATTTTTCAGATATGAAACCCCTGATTTCAATGCGTTTGCTTTTAGAGCCTGATTTCGATCTCGTAGATTAGAGAAGTTCAAAACTGCTTTGTCAATAAAAATATATATATATTGAAGTCTCGTACCCAAAGAAGGGTCCAGGCCTCTGAGCTGGAGCTCCCTATGTTCTTGGCAAAGAGCACACCACTCGCATAAGAAGTGACTGACGCAATCCGGAGCAGGGCTTTCGGGCAGATCGAACTTGTTCCTTAGCTTTTTCCGGTATGTGCACGATAGCAAGCATGGCACAAAGATGCACAACATGACCAACATGCAAATCAGTGTATTGGTTGCACAAGCTGTATGAATGACCAACATAAACACCACACCAGCCATTAATCGGATGAGTATTTTGGACGTTAGAATTGCTAATTACGAAAGTTGAACATTGATTCAGTCGACTTACAGCTTGGACCATTATCGACAATCTCTGCAATCTGACCGAACGTCCAGCATGGGCACAATAACGTCATGAGAGCTGAAATAATCAAAACAAGAAATAGTTCATGAATGTCTACTGCAAATTACTGTAAAAGAAAGTTGGGAGCAGTTTTATATCTAGAAAACACATAATGTAGCTAGCACTAGTTAGAAGTAATAGTGCCAAAATTTCAAAGAGACAGCCTATGGCCAACTCGTAATCATACTGTTACTGTCTCTCAACTAATTTCATCTTAAACCTGCTCAGTATGAAAGGTATGTGGAGTTTTTGTTGAGAATTAAGCTGCATCCTAGCTTTAGAATTAACCTGCAGAAGATAATCCTGCAGATGAAATCAAAAGGGAGGCTGAGAAGTGTGAAGAAATGAAGGCTTTACCAAAATTAGAAGGAGCCATTAATTTCAACGGCTAGTTTCTTTTACTAGTTTTAGAAAGATTACAGCTGGTGTTCCTATCTTTTTAATTGTACTGAGCTTTCCCATCTTCTTCCAAGTGGATGGATGATATCCTCCGATAACCATTAATGGCCGGAAAAGGGTTCTAGGTCCCTATATGTAGGATCAGTTTTTAGACCAGCTGTGATAAATATAGTCTTTGTATGTTTGCCTTTTTGTGATATATGAAAAATACACAGACTCTTGCTCTTCCTTTTTCTCTCTTGAAAAAACACAAATCTCTTAAAACCCTTATTCAAAGTTTCAATCTTTATCAACCAAAAACAATATGCCTGGTACCATTTCAAACAGTTTTATCACAAGAAGTCTGTGTAATTAGAAGTTGAACAGTTCAATATAAGTAGTATGAACTAGAGAATAAGGATGAATTAACTTGGGACTTGGAAGCACCATTTGGGGGACCGTCCATGCACTCAAAGAGCCCCGTTTTCCAAGTTCCGTCAATGCCTGCCGGAGTTAGCGGCACTGGTACGTACTCAATGTTTTGGATGGGCATTCCTGTTTCAGCAAAATGATTGTTATAATGCAACACCGGCTGCAGTTGATTTCTTGCCGCGGAAGCATGATTATGATACTGCAGCTGTAGCTGCTGATGAGGAACAATTTGGTAGGCAGCCGGAGGAGGAAAAAGCACTTGGTGTGTACTATAATTTATTGCATCAGCAGAATCAGCTCGATGGTGATGATGATGAAAATGATTAAATGCATCAGCCGAAGCAGCTCAATGATGATGAGGAGGAGGATAATATGTACGTGAAGGCGGGCGTGGAGCTGAGGGTACAAACGCGTTGTAATTATGGTGAGGCCAATTTAATCTGCTGGTACAAGATGAGATTAGCACTATGGAGGTTTGAGGGTGGCAACTGTACATGTAATGGCCGGGCATGTTGATGATGATAGTGATCGTGATCTGCCTGATGGTAAGGGCGTGATATTCCGGCATTTTTGTGGGAAGAGGAAGAGGGGTTTGCCTGATGATTACCTGCTTCATGATCAGGACTAGGTCCTTTGTTAATAATGTTGATGTGGGAATTAATATTAGGGTTATTTTGAGGTGGGAGTTGTTAAGGTTGGTGGTGGGGGAGTTTTTGGACATGTACATGTAGTGATGCTAATTTTGACGCTTGAGAGTGGAATACCAGCGGCGCCGCCTGATTTGGTTGATGTTCCATGATCGTTGTGTGCTTGAGGACGTCCTATATATGAGATCAACCCTAGGACGTCCCCTTGTCCAGGGAAGAGGGGTTTGACCATCAAAGGTACCCAATGGACAACTTCTTCAACAAGTCCTTGTATACAGACGAGAAAACTAAGGACAGCCTCTCACTTACTATTCTATCCATACGCCCACACATTATCAACACGGTTGACAGCAAGGAAGCATTGATCACTCCAGCTTACTAGTCTCTAATTATACAAAATTGTATGGGATAATGAATAATTATAAAATCCAACATAACCTTTTGTTCTAATTTGAATGGAGGGAAAATTAAACTCACATACAAGGGATATGGTCATATTAATTGCTCTGACTAATTAGTTTAATCCACATCTGCACCTTTTATATAATGTTGTCGTATGTAATCATTTACTAGTAGTTATTTAGTTAACCTAATGACTTTACCAACTTGTATAAAGATGAATGTCTACTAACCATTAGACCTAGCTTGCGGCTGCACACGTTATATCTAAATCTTTAATAGTATACAGAACTCCAGAAATCATCAAAACTAAAAGTGTTCTTTTGAATTTTCAATACATGAAAATGGCAACTCGTTCAAAATTACAAAAGGAAGCGATACATATTCAGAGTATCCACAAATATCAACATACGAAAATAAACATAACACAGAGAGAGAAAAATAGCCTTGAGGCATGCATAAGTAAATGCAAGTAATCTGCAAACGGTTGATCTTGTTCATCACAAACATTAGGATTTTTTTAATCAATACTGATTCATATTTTGGTTCATTGGAGGCATCATCATATTAACATTCGGCTGCTGCAAGCTGGGATTCCTTTGCACATTTCCTATCCATCCGATTGAAGGGTCAATCCCTCTGACTTGAAGTTCCCGGTACTCTTGGCAAAGAGCGCAGGGTTCGCATAATAAATGGATGACCCAATCGGGTGCGGGGGACTCGATTAGGTTGTATTTGCTGCGCAGCTTTGTGCGATACGTGCATGACATTATGAATGGTATCCCAATGAACGCTGCAATCAATCCGTAGAACAATCCGCTGGTCGCACATGCTACACAGTAGTATGGATATATACGTCAATATCGCATGCACAATACGGATTAATTCTCACTTCAAATATTGTAACATGATATGTAGTTTGAATATAAGATACATGTTTTGGAATTTGGCTTACAGGATCTGCCGTTATCTACAACCTCTGCTATCTGGCCAAACGTCAAGCATGGAACGAAAGCCGTTGTGAGAGCTGAAATGTCATAGTAATGTTCATAATAAATCTCAACTCATAGTTCAAAATATGAAAACTAGCTATACATTGGATGCGGAAGGAGAAATAAATAAGGGTGTGGTTATTTTTGAAAGGGCTAGAAGTGCTTTATGACAATTAAAAACACTTTTGAAGCATTTGATAAAATGAAGTTAAAAGTGGTTTTGCGTTATAGCACTTTCTGGGGAAGCACTAAGAAAGCACTTGAAAAAACTTTAATTTTAATAACCTGTGTTTCTAAGAAAAAGCAATTTTAGCAAAAACGCTTATGAACAAAATTATTTCCTACAAAAACAGTTTCAAACAAGCCCTAGATATGTATGTATGTGCGTACCATTCATTGGATCATCCATGCAATCAAATAACTCAGAACTCCATTGCTCAGTTCCAGCATTCTGCAGGTTGACGTGATTAAGAGGTCCCTGCTGGTAAGGACTCTGCTGCATTGGAACCCCTTGAGCAGCATAACCATTATTAGGCTGCTGTTGTTGGTATTGTTGATTCTGTGTGGAAAATTGCACTGCCGGCTTCTGATATTGCTGATTATAATTCGCTGGAAATTGGGGAGGAAACTGAGCTGGAGGTTGTTGGTTCCCCATGCCCATTGGTTGTGGTCCTTGTGGCGGGTAGACCGCCCCGGGTTGGTTAGGTACATTTGCATACATGGGATTACGGTTTGGATTGGTTTGCATATTACTCTGGGGCTGGGGTGGAAACTGTGCAGGCCTAGGCTGCTGATAGTTTGCTTCTTGTTGTTGATTTTGGAATTGTGGGTTTTGCGGTGGGAATTGTTGTGGGCCTTGAGGTGGGAACTGTGCTGGCTGAGGCGTTGGAGTCTGGTAGGGCTTTTGTTGTGGAGGACCTTGTGGTGGTGGGAACCCTACTGGCTGAGGCTGAGATGGCGGTAGTTGCTGAAAGACTCCTTGTGCTTGTGCTTGTGCTTGTGCTTGGGGGTCATAATTATTTTGAGGTGCATTATTGGGTGGCTGTGGTGGTGGCTGTTGGTATTGATCTTGTTGGTTTTGGTCGTGGCTGGTGGTTTCAGACACTTGTTGGTGTTGAAATTGTTGATCAGCTTGTAACTCATGCTCCACCTCCACTTGAGGTTGGTAGAGATCATGATCGCCGTCGTTCGCAGACGGCCCTCCTTCTGGATTTCCCATTAGCCTAGCTAGCTAGCTACTACTCTAATTTTCTTTTTGATGGGATCTCAGAGAAATAGAGATGTATAGATACAGGGAGCTGCGGACGAAAACAATAGTTGCATGCTATACATTTATATATATGCCATTCCCACCAATTACTAATGAAGGGAACATGTTGTGCAATTGAGGAAGCAATCTTACTAATTAACAAAACCCTACTTGTGGGATTTCTGTCAGGATATTACTGAAGTCAAACACAAAGCTATTGAAAGTCAATTATCTTGCGAAAAAAAAAAAGCAAAGAAATACCTAACAAAATGTTAACATCAATAATATTGCGCCCAACTTAATAACATATACAGATTAGTAAGTACCGAAACTTTAAACAAAATAATTTCGTGTTATTATCAATGGAATATATTTACTTTGCCAAATATCTGGCAAGGGACTTTACTTTCTTCAACAAAAAAATTCTTTACGTGTGAGAGGGGATAGATTATATGGATTTGTTCAACTTCAATTAGGGATGAGCAATGGTTATGGCGGACGGGTAACCGCGGTTATTTATCCATAACCGTTTATTCTCATACCCGTATAATCGTTTATCCGTTGGGTAATTGCCTAAACTGTTATACCAATATCCATAACCGTTTATAAATAGTTAACCATACACATAACTGTGTACCCATTTAACTGTAACCGTTTAATACCCGTTTACCCATTTATCATTTTTTAACCCATTTATCCTTTCTTTTTTACCATTTACTCATTTTTCTTCCGTCTATGTGTTTTTTTAACAACTTGAAAATTGAAAAAGAAAAATTTGTCATAATTTTCTTTTTCTAACAATTAAACACCGTTATATGTACATTCATCTTACATTTCCGCATTTTAATTTTTTCAGTCCTTATACCATTCCAATAATTGAAATAATAGTTTACGGACTATATTTTTAACTGTTAACAATGAAGGTAATATAAAATTTGCTAAGTATTCTTGGGTAACGAAAACTGTTAAAAGACAGTATTATTGAGTTATTTAACTCAGAATGTAAAGTATTAACATATATATATAATGGACCATGAAATTTTAAGTGGTTAAGGAAAACAATATTATATTAGCTACAGAAATCATACACTATAGTCAATAGCATTGATCAAAAGTTTTGTCCGATAAGGAACATGGTTTGTGTTAATTTTACATATATAAAATAAATGGGTAAACGGTTACCTGTTTATAACCGCGGTTAATATCCATAATTGTCCATTTAAATTCCGCGGGTAAACGGTTATACCCATAACCGTTTATTTATCTGAACGGTTACCCATAACCGTAACCGTAAAATTTAAATGAGCGGATAACCGTGATTACCCATAACTGATAGATATTTACCCATCCCTAACTTCAATACTTATCGTGAGAAAGTCTAGGCGATCACCGTCTAGTGTCGATAATATGGAACTGCAGAAGAGTCTACTTTGACCAGAATGTCATTTATTATTTGCAATGCAGAAAAACGCTGGCAGCTAGCGGAATGTGTCTGCAAATTGTAATAGATATATTTTGATTATTGCTAGTGGAGGAGCTGCCTTGTTTAGCTTTAGAATTGACAGCTTGACCCAGCAAACTATAATCTCTGGTTAAGTTCATAATTAGGTTGACCTTATTAGTGGTTTATATAATTGTTGAGCACATGGCCTCTTCAATAGCACGAAACATCCTAATTAAAGTCGATGGGAAAATCATATTGCTTCAACAGAGCCTTATCAACTATCCAATTAAGTTGAATGTTTCAACTAATACATATAATATATAAATATATATATACGGGACAAATCAGTGACATCACTTTATTTTAACCAATATGTTACTTATATATATATATACGCGTCTTTTGTTAGGAGGGATCTTGCTTCACTGTTTGTAGAGCACGATACTCGACTACATATCGATATATAAGATATTGACAACAAACTAAGACATATTGACAACACGTATAATAAACTTCAACTACCTCTAATGGTGGATCCAAGATTTAAACTTTGGGGAGTCCTACTAGTAAATGTTCAAGTTTTTTAGATAGAAAAGTGCATGAAGCGCTAGATTGTTTTTTTTACTCATTGAGGCAAATTTTCAAATGCCTAGTTGACTTGTTGTCGTCAGCCAAACCATGTTATGAACATGTCAACATATATCGACATATACATGCCGAAGGAATTTGATGAATGATATGAGAGAATTTGTCGAGTGCAGTCGACGCAACCTGTCGAAATATGTCTGACAAATGTTACATCAAACACTTAGTGGGCATAAAAGAGATGTGTAGGTACCAAACATTCGGAGGGTCCTCGAAAGACCTTCACATGTATATTTTTAGACTACCGCCACCATATATGTGTCCATATCAATACGTTTTATCAACACAATATGATATCAACAATATGAATGACATATCGAGTATCGGATCCATGATATCAACAATATGGACGGCATATATACATACACACACACACATATATCAGTCCCCTATCATTGAAGGATCCTTCAAATCAAAGATTCTTTGTGGGGCTCACTCCACATTGTAGATCCAACTGTTCATCTTGTAGATCATTTCTCAAAGATCATCTCATCATAATATGCTTGTTTTGTTGGTAATAATGAAGAAATTTCAGTTTCTTCATGGTAATCATTTTGCTTTGATTAAGCTACTTCACATTTTCAAGTTCAAGTATTGCTTGGCTTTTTAGTCAAAATAGTTCCTGAAATTTGTATAACACATCACTTTGGTCCCTGAGATTGAAAATCAATAGAAATGGTCCTTGAGATTGTCCACCATCCATTATTTTGGTCCTTCCATTAAAAACTCCGTTAAGTATCCCGGAGCTCTTGGCTGGAAGTTTGGGTAATTTTCAAAGCTTCGTAACTTAATCGTTTCTTAACCAAATTCGACCCATAATATATCAAAATAAAGATAGGAAAGTGTAGAATAAGATTATACCTATTTGGAAGCTCAATGTTTGATGGAGATGGCTGGAAAATAGCCTGATAGGTGACTGGTCAGCAGAAAAACTGGAAAACTCGCCTGAAACTAGGTAAACTTTAAATGTTCATAACTTCTTCAATACTCAACGAAATCGAGTGATTTGAAAACAAAAATCATACTTCTCAATGAGACGAATATAATGGTACCTTTCTTGACTGCTAATTTTCCGTGGTTTGGCCGGAAAACGGTTTGAAAGTGGCTAACTCGAGACCAAGTAACGTGTTATGCAAATCTCAGGAACCAAAGTAACGTGTTATGAAAATCACTCGATTTCGTTGAGTATTGAAGAAGTTATGAACGTTTAAAATTTACCCAGTTTCCAGCAAGTTTTCCTGCGGACCAGTTACCTTTCAGGCTATTTTCCTGCCATCTCCGGCAAACATTGGGCTTTCAAATAGTTATAATCTTGTTCTACATTTTCCTATCTTCATTTGATATATTATGGGTCGAATTTGGTTAAGAAACGATTGAGTTACGAAGCTTTGAAAATTGCCCAAACTTTCGGCCAAGAGCTACGGGACACTTAAAGGAGTTTTTAACGGAATGACTAAAATAATGGATGGAGGACAATCTCATGGACCATTTTTATTAATTTTCAATCTCAGGAACCAAAGTGATGTGTTAATGGATGGTCGGCAATCTCAGAGGAACCATTTCTATTGATTTTCAATCTCATGGACCATTTCTATTGATTTTCAATCTCAGGAACCAAAGTAACGTGTTATGCAAATCTCAAGACCATTTTGGCTAAAAAGCCAGTATTGCTTATATAAAACTTAAGAACACAGATTTTCCACTTGTTTGCATACCCATTCAACTGTGGGATGCTTGTATTTATAACTTCATCACGATTACATCTGAGGGTTTGAAAACCCTATTTACAAGGAGGTTTGAAATTCAAAAGATACCAAAACAGAAAACAACAGATTACAAATATTCAAAAAATACATCCTATTAACAAGGAAACCTAATCAGGTAGAAGTGTAAACAAAAAGGAACTCCTGGAAGGGCGCTGGAGTTCCTCAAAGCACGGTGGGTTTATCCTCAGGTTGACTTCGTCTAACAGCTTATATATCCTCTTATGTTTTCATAGGATTGTCGTTTTGGATATTTGCGTTCATTTATCTTACTTTACGCTTCAGTAAAACACTTTTTAAGTTTCATCTTCTAAAAACAGGAAAAGAGAGAATTTTGTTTAACTGGTCAATTTCCTTCTTAGGTTTTTTGTATAGAGAGATATCTTCCAATATATATATGGTTAAGATAATATGAGTATCCATGACGTCAAAAACCGTGGACTATACCCTGCCCTAGGTATAGAATCCACTGTCTTAATTATACTTGGTAGCTTTGATTAAACCATTGTGTGACGAATATTACACAGGTTATATCGCCAATGCTCAGAAAATAAACCAAGGTGGAAATTCTGTGCCTCCGTACGTCACGCCGGGCATAATATGTATGACCTGCAAGTGGAATTCCATTGGTGAAGTTGTTCGCTTCATATAATAATTTACTTGAATTTGATATCTGTTTGAGACCGATCGAAGCCTTGGAAATAGAATTTCGACAATCACTCTTAATGCACATAACAAGAGAAGTATAACTTGATCAACAGGTACAATTTAAGGGGTGTTTGTGTGTAACTCAACTGATTAGGAGCGTTTGCGGTACTTATGGTTTGTTGGCACTTGATGATCTAAAAGTTCAGAGAAATAAAAGACGAGACCAAATAACATGAAACTAGCTAGGACTTTTCTTAATTCTTTATCTTCATATACATTTTTGTTTTCAAAGCGAAAACAATTTTCAAACAAATGATGACCGAACACCGCCATGCCATCAATCCACCACAGTCAGACTCTGATACTCTTCGACGGAGATGGCTAGTTCCATGATAATTTCGGGGTGAACTCACCCCTCATAATCCAAGAACAACTTCATAAAAAATTTATAAAATAATAAAAAGGGATGTGCTATCCACACGCCTTATTTTACTTTTCACACTCCCTTTGTTAATTTCTGTTCGTTGATCTTCTTCCATTCA